TTATGCCATTGATTTATAAACTATTTTACATGGAAACGGAAGCGGAATCGTATGAAAGCGTAGAAGCGAGATTTTTTTAAAAAAAATAGGAAGCAGAAACGTGTTGGAAGCGTATATTTATATATGTATATATATACACATATTAAAATATAAAAAATTACAAATATGACTAGAAATTATTAGAGTCAAATTTAAAATAAAACATTTATTCAATTATAATAATTTTAAATGATTTTATGTTAAAACCGTGAAAATATACATAAATCAAGTTTATAAGATATTGTTATACTAATTATTTTTAATATTTCGTAAATAATTAACACCAACTATTTGAATATATACGATATATCTTTTATAAATCCTCAGTGTATAAAGATAATTTATAATATTAATTTTAGTATTTGTATATTTTTATTCTCTATTTCACTACTATATACAAACAAAAATAATGTTTCTTATATTTTTATTTACTTATGACATTGAATCTTATAAAACGGAAACGTGATTCCAAAATGTAAACGTAAGCTTCCAATGTATTTAAAAAAAAAAAAATTGGAAACGCAATGGAATCGAGATTCCGAGAGATTCCACAAGCTTCCGTTTCCGATTCCGGTTCCGAAACGGGAAGCAGACATATGACGAAGCTTCCATGCAACCTAGTTTATAAATATAAATAATTATTTAAATAATTAAATAAAATAATATTATATTTTTTAAGTTTTTGAAATTTTTTTTTCAAATTCGAACTTCTGTATACATTTTTTGATTTTTTTTCAAAATTCGAAAACTTCATTTGGACCTTATTTTAGTTTTATTTATTTGAATTTAAATATTTTTTTTTTAATTAAAATTCTACACCCTACCCTCCAAAATCTCTTCTCTTAAATCTAAATCTCAAGCCTAGATTAGTTAATTCTAGAGTTATAAATATCTATTTGCCTCTTTAAAATCAAAGATAAATATGGTTAAGATAAAGATGAAAATTTGTACTTAAAAAGCGCTAGTTTTGACAATGTGGCTTGATTCAATTCAATCAAACTCAGTTCTTCATCAATCTTCTGCGCCGTTGACAAGATAAGACAGTGCATGTTTGGGCGCAGAGTTGGTCATATCCTTACCCACTTGTTCGGGTTACTCACAAACGGTTTTAAAAAAAAACAACTCCTGTTGTGCTCTTTAACTGCTTATCCCCATATTATGCCGTGAGTGCAGTGAAATAGACTAATCGTTGATTCAATTATTTATTTTACGTTGTGTTAAAGAATTTTTTGTATAATGTTTTTAGGGGATAGACATTCAGATATTCGTTCGTATTCAGTAAATCTATTCATTTTTTCAATTTTAGAGCTAGAAAATATATCCGATTTAGATATTTACAAGTGAGTTATTCTTAGGTTCACCAACTATTATGAAGGTGTTATTTATATTTGATATCTTTTTAAAAGGAAATAAAAACTTCTTAAATTATATTATATTTTTAAAATAAAAATACAAAAATAAATAAAAAATAATAATATTAAAAAAACCGAAAAAAACTTTTTTTAAAAATATGTAACACTAAACCCTAAACTCTAATCCTAAACCCTAAACCCTAATACTAAACCCTAAACCCTAATCCTAAACCCTAAACCCTTGGGTAAAACATAAACCCTTTGGAAAAATCTTAACCCTTGGGTAAATTAATACTAATCAATTATACTATTTTTTATTTACTTTTTTCTTTTTATTTTAAACACATTTTTTTATTTTAAAGATATATTAAAATATTTTTTGTTTTAAATTGTTTTTTTTGCAATTATTACTGTTTTTATTTTATTTTTATCTTTTATTTTAAAACATAATATGTTAACATATTTTTTAAAGATTTTTTTCGTTTTTCGTAAATATTAATATTTTTTTTCTTTTTTCTATTTTTGTTTTAAAAACATAATATAACTTGACAAGATTTTGTTTCCTTTTTTAAAAGATATCAAATATGAAATAACACCACCCTATTGGTTGGTGAACCCAAAAATAAGTCTTTACAAATTTAGATTTGGTTTAAATCATTGTGGGTTCCATTCGAAAGTGAGTTAGATACCCACTGATATTATGTATTTTTTTTAGCAAAAATCAAAATATATTTAAGTCCACAAAATCCGAAAATAATATAACTGAAAACATAAAAAAAATTGAATAATATAAGACTAAATACTTAAATTCACATAAAATTATTTAAACTACAATATTTGGATAGAGAACAAATAGATATTTTCAGTATTTTGAAGATTTTTTGATATTTTGGGTATTTACAGGTGACTATTTTGATAGTTTTTAGATATTTGCATATTTTTGAATATTGAATAGATATAAAATTTAAACTAACAAATATATTTAAGTATGTAATTGGTGGCAGTGTATAATCAATAACATGTAATTTCTTGTAAACAATTATTGGTAAGTATCAGAAAATATGATACAATCTAGTGAAAGGGGATTAGGGATGTGATCTCTCACTCGGCACCTGAACTGTGTTTTTCAAACGATTTTGCGATTTTTTTTTCCTTTTAAAGTTTTCCGGATTCCTGATTTTTTCAACCAGAGAGATGATTATGTTTCTAACTTTTGGTATGATAAGAAAACTCTGCAAAGGAAAATAATAATTGGCTAAACCAAAGATCCCGCTTTGCGTTGTGATACTTTCATAACCAAGCACAATTAAGAACCAATCACAATTATTTGATTTCCTTTGTGTACATAAGCCTCAACCATAATCAAGTTTGGAAATGTAAAAACCTTTAAATTTCTAAAAATCTTTTTATTCCATCATTTTAGTTGATGTAAATATTTATGATTTTGTAATTTATTTCTTTCCACAATAGTATTATTCACTAGTTGCACGGGGATAACTTCATTTCACTAATAGAAATGTTAAAAATGCAGAAACTAAAACTAAGTTGATTAAGAAAATTATGAGAACACATGAAATTGTATGCACTGGAGTCGAGAAATTAGTATGTGAGAGCACCCCTAACGGAGAGTTCTAGCTCTGAGGTTCACAAAATAAATATATGTGTATGTATATATTAATACTAATAGGTTTTTAACTTTACGGAAACTCAATCTAAAGTATCCCAAAACTCATGTTCTAAAAATCGGGCACCTAGCGCTCATCTTCCCCGATTTATGCCAAATTGATCTAAAAATCGGAAAAACGATATTAGTCTGTCTAGACCGCCTGAATGACCGTCTAGCCGCCTAAATGGCTGTCTATGTGGCCGCCTAATTTATTTTTTAGTTATAATTTATTTTTATTTATTGATATAAAATATTATATTGTAACTTATTTTCATAATTTTAATGAAAATTATGCCGCATTACGTTTACATTTTTGTATTTGTGTGTTTATACAATTTTACAATGGAAATCGGGGCTTCTATCTCTAGTGGTAAAGGGTTTACAGATGTGAGTACTGCCATCTGGGTTCGAATCCCAGCCACTAGGGAATTAACATTTTGGCATCGCTAGGGACAGAAGACCGACAGGTGGCAACACGTGACTAGTCTGGATCACTTCTGTGGGGCCAGGATACCTCTGTATAATTCAGAAAAATATAAAAAATATCTTATTTTATTAAAAATTAAAAAAAATTAACATGTTTTATAACATATTAAACAATCTAAAACTCTGCTCCGCGTAATTCCTGTTTAATCTCTGAATTTCTCGCTAGGTGCTAGACCTGACTCAGCCGTTCGATGCGCCTAGCGTCATTCCTAACAAGGCCCAAAAAACACTTTGGATTGAGTTTTCCATAAATTTAAGAACCTCACAATTAAATAATAATAATAATAATAATAATATATAATAATATATATATGCACATATATGTATTTTGAGAACCTCAATGCTACAACCCTCATTAGAGGTGCTCTGAACACATTAAATTTTAAATGATTGTGAGGTTGCCATGTCAACATTCTAATTTTTAAGTGACTGTTAAATAGTGTGTGAACACATTTACTACAAATGTTTTTTTTTTTAATATATAGAAGATGAAGAATAGTTATTATAACATAAATCGGTAACTCTTAGTGCAGTACAGCACCTAAGTCTGTGCCAATAATATATAATAATATATATATGCACATATATGTATTTTGAGAACCTCAATGCTACAACCCTCATTAGAGGTGCTCTGAACACATTAAATTTTAAATGATTGTGAGGTTGCCATGTCAACATTCTAATTTTTAAGTGACTGTTAAATAGTGTGTGAACACATTTACTACAAATGTTTTTTTTTTAATATATAGAAGATGAAGAATAGTTATTATAACATAAATCGGTAACTCTTAGTGCAGTACAACACCTAAGTCTGTGCCAATTTTTAGTTGAGTTCCAATCAAAAATGTTCTCACACTTACTTTGGTTTAGTGAGATTTGAGTTTCTTTTAAATTTTAGTTCGGATTGAGTTTTTTTTTTTAAATTAAGTTCAATTCGAAAAATAATATTTTTTCGTTCCTTTTTACTTTGGCTAGGATTGGTTCCATTGTGATAGCCCCCTAAATCAATTGGTTGATTAATTCTTTTACACTAAGAGATTTGGGTCTCGAGTCCCAGCAAAAACGAGATTTTGCAATTAATAGAAAGAAAAAACTTATAATAATCTATAGCATGAAGCAAAGAGTAACATCAAGCGTGGATCCAATAGTGCAGCTCATGAAGCTGAAACCGGACATGATTCCAAAAGTAGGTAGAATTACCAGCTGTAAAATCGTCTTTAATATTTCTTATAATTTGGAATATTATAGCATTCCAGTATTTTTTAGAAAGATTGGTTCCATTTATTAATATAAGCATCTCTAAATAATAGAAATAAATAGCTAAACTCCAAAAGTAAAATGCATTAACAATTATAATAAAGCTGATGAACACAAGTTTTTTTGGAAATCTTATTTTATTATTGTATACCACTACGGGCTAGAATAGAAAAAAGGGTGACATCAAAGGGGTTTCCGATCTAAAGGCTGAGACCAAAGTTGAGGTTAAGTCGATCTCTGATCACTTTGAATACCTCTGTACCGTCTGGTATCACACGTTCAATCTTCGGTTCAGTATGGTTCTGGTTAACCGGTAAACTCGGCAGCTTAGCGAATCCGGTTATATAGAACGGTGTCATATCCATTGGTGGGTCCAACGAACAAGGGAAAAGCCTCAGGGCTTGAGAGGCCGAAGAGGAAGAAGGTGGCCTGCCTAAACGCACGGTTCGGTGATTATTATGATCTTGAGACGTTGATGAACCGTCCTGGCTCTTTTGACCGGAAGTGCTCCCGCGTGCAGCTGGTGGATCGTGCTCGTGTATCCCATCGTATGTAACCAACAGAAACTTGACATTTTCTGCTCCTCTCTCCACATGCTTCTTCACAGTGCACGCAGTGTTTGTACATTTGTAGTAGCTCCTGCACCAAAATAAAAATACAAAAATCTAACATATAAACCAACTAATTAGAAGACAAGAAAAAATAAAAAAGATGGCGAAAGAAACAAACCTTGGATTTGGATTCCCGTGGACAACTTTCTGACCATATTTTCTCCAGCGAAAACCATCCTCAGGATTGTTTTCTTCGCATTCCAATTGAATGATAACTCTTTGGCTCTTGCAGGATCTTGTGGCTCCAATCATGGTTGATCCTTCAAGCTTCCTACAAAAGAATTATGTGGGTTAGGTTATTTTAATCAATACGTTAAGCGTAGTATTATTATATACTGATGTTATCTTGGGACCTTCTCTTTGGAGATGAAGGTTCTCCATCTAGCTCATCAACAATGTTTTGATATTCGTCTTCATCTTCCTTGAATTCCTCGTCGTCCTCGCTCTCCCTCTCGATTTTCGCGGTGACGAGGTCGGTTTCGTTAGCGACTGGATCAGATTCAGACGAAGCGACTAAAGGAGAGCATCAATGGAATCAACATAAGAAGGGATATAAATGGCGTCTTTGGAATATCATCAGAGTATTTAAAAAAAAAAAATACTAGGAAAATCCAAATGGAAGCAAACTTGAGACAGAAGCAACTCTATTACCTTGTTGAGGAGGCAGGGCAACGTGCATCGGATTGTTGTAGGATATCAGCGTTGTTGCATGGTCGGCACCAGAACTTTCCACCGCCTCTGGAGACCCGCCATTGACGATTAGAGGCGGAGGGATCATCTGGAATATGTTTAAGAACGATTACACGTTAAATCTAACAAAGTATAGTTTGATCATTCACACATAAACTTCGTATTCGGCGGTGAAAGTCAGCTAATAAAAAAATTGTTAGAGCTTGTGTTCAAAAAAAAAAAAAATTGTTAGAGCATATACATCACATGTCGGCCCCACACCACATGTCTATTTCACAGGCCCCACACCATATCTTGGTCCGCAATTGATCTACTTATTATTTTATTTAAAAAAAAAATCTGAAACGAAAAAAATAATAAAAAAAAAAAAAAAAATTTGTGAACTTCTCCCCTAGGTTTATTAATCTACTTTTTATACCTATATATATATTGTTTTAAAATATCATATATAATAATATTCCTGTATATTTTGTCCAACCTCATATTCATTATATGATTACAAATCATGCGCGTATCATGAAACAATCATAAACATTATTACTTACGTGTGAAGGATCAAAGAACATGTTTGGAAATTGCAACATAGCAGATGGGCTGAATCCTGGAGAGATTAGGACGTGAGGAGAAGGGTGGGTGGTCGACGGGTTCCTGAAGAAAGCAGCAAATGGACGGTTGTTCTGTGTCTCGAGCGGTGGAAGATTGAATTCAGTTCTTGCCGCTACTCTCTCGCCGAGACTGGATCTTTGTTCAGACTGATGATTAGTTTGAGGGAAGATCTTGCTTATTGAATCCACATCACCATTGTTGTCAGCTTGATTCAGCAAATCTAGTAGCGTTCTAGGGCTGGGACTAGACGGTGGAGCCCAACACGTCGTCATTCCTATGCTGTTTCCATCCAGACCATTCATTTCTCCTGGAGAAAAACACTGAGGTGTCAAGAAACAAGACAAAAATTAATTAAAAAATATATATGGATACTTAATTTTACAAATAGCGGTAAAGGAGAAACCTGTTTTATTCAGAGGAAGCTAGCAGGAAAAGAAGAAGACAGAAGAGATGTGTGTAGCATAAGAGGGAGAGATGTTGTTTATATAGTAAAGCTAGTAACCATTTTATTTTGGTAAAAAAAATATATGGTCAAACTTTTGTCATTTGGGAAGCCCAAAGAGATTTTTTTTATAACTTTTCTATTTCACTAATATATTCTCCTATATAATAATTTTTTTATAAAATCAATAAATTAATAATTTACATAACCAAACTGAATCAGATTTAAACCAATCTATTATTTAATATCAGTTTTGTAATGTCACCACATAATCAGAACATCAAACAAGTAGATTTAATTATAATATCAAACTAAACTACATAGAATATCATGCTGATTTAAAATTTATTAATCGTTTTCTTTTGTTAACTAGGGACATATGTGCTAAAGGTAGCTGATTTTTCATATAGTCAGTTAAGACAGTTAGTTTAGTTTTGAATGTTTTAATGAAGTTTAAAACATAGGCATGTCTTCGTCTCGCCAGACACCAACAACTTAATTTCTAATTAACCAACAATGTTCTACAAGAAAAAACGAACAACTTAATTTCTAACAGAAATCGCATCCATAAATGATATTTTACAATCTATCTCAGACCAACCCTTATGATTAGTATTTATTAATAGTTCGAATTTAAAGAATAAAATACAATTGAGGTTCTACAGTATGTTTTAATCAATTTTAGATATTTTTAAATCGTTAATTTTCTGTCAAATAATAGTCATTAATATAATAGATTAAACCAAATAAATATTACAGTGATTTTATATTCCTTAATAGCTTTTTATATAGGTTATATATATAATTAGTTTTAGATAATTTATTTATTATTATTTTTAACATAATTATTAATTCAACGAATTTATATAGATATAAAATTACTGCGATTTTAAATTTATTGGTATTTAATTTTTTAAAACTAAAGCTTAAATTGTCTGAAGTTTTTGACAAAAAAAGATTTTTGTCTGAAGTTTTGGCATTATTTGGATTTTGGCCAACGATACTATTCAAGAATGTAATCAGATTATTAATGATCCACAAATCAGTATGATTAGGGTAACTAACGAGGGTCAAACACATGACATAATAAACTTTGATCATTGTTTTTATAGAATGTATAAACATGGAATGATTGTATTAAATTGTTGACTGTCACGGGATATCAACAAATGCATTGATTTTTGTAATGTGATGTGCAAATAAAAGTTTCTATAAAGAAAAGATAGTCACACCTAATTTTGAATAGAAAGTTTGACCATGGAAAAATAGCAAAGTCAAAAATTTGTTAACAAATAAAGCTTTAGTGAAATCATCCTCAAATTAATGTTAGATTTATCGTGTATATCAATTTCTATAATAGTTTTTTTTTCAAGTTATATATAATGATTTTGAAACTTTGTTTTGATTTCAACGAAGAAATGTTGAAAAATGTGTGTTTTTTCTTTTTAAAAATCATTTCGCAATTCAGAATATAGGTTAAAAATAAAGCTTTAGTGAAATTATCCTCAACTAGGCCTGGGTGTTCAACTACATCTTTAGGTTCAGATCGGATTTTTCAGTTTCCAATTCTATTTTGTAGCATGCCTTAGGCTGAATACTAATAAATTTGTAAGTATGGATAAGGATCGGACACTATATCGATTTCGGACCAATTTGTAGTACATCCTAAACTCATAATTATATCGTTCGGATGTGGGTTATATCGAATCTGTTCGGATTTATCCAAAGTAAAATCTAATTTTTTGTTAAAAAAAAAGAAGAAGAAGAAATATATACTTACTTATATATATATTTGAATATTTAATGTCCTTATTTATATTTTAAATACTTATTGTTGGATATCATATCGAAATAAATATGAAATTGAATATTTTGAAATACATATTTATGTTTCAAATATTTATATTATATATTTATTTGGATATTCGGATTGGTTTCTTCGGATTTATTTGGGATTTTTAGTTTTTTGAGTTTTTCGTGTTCGATTAATAATACTTTAGGTTCAGATATGTTTTATAACATCCTACAAAATTCATTTGGATATTTTTTTTTTTACATTTCGGACATGGTATGAATCAGATATTTTGGTTCAGATTCAGTTCGGATTTCCCCATTCCTAACAGCAATACAATGTTTTTACGTCCGACCCGGATCTACGATCGGACAGCCAAATCATGTGATTCACTAAGTAATCCGGTTTGAATTATAACAAATATCCGCTAATTAAAAATCTGGTTACCAATTGAAACACCGGATAAACTATTAAATAAATTTTTTTTTGTTTTTCTTAAATTTTTAACTACTGTGTTTTGTATTCTAAATAATAACTTAGGTTGTTATTTTTTAATTTTCTCATGAAATTATTGTTTCATTGTTTTCATATATATTATATATCTTCGTCATTTTTCTCTTGAAACTTTTGTTGATTTTATTTATTGTGAATCACATGTTTTTATTTTGTGTTTTTGATTTTACATATTTTAAATAAATGATGTTCTAATGAGAATCAAATTCAATTGATCTTATTTGATTTGTAAAATCGACTAAATTATTTTATTGTTAGATTTAGAATTTTGATGAACATTTCATTATGCCTCTTGAATAAAAATAGTAAACAATGATAGATATCTAAAACATATGAGATTTAAATCTTGTTGTATTTTACTATTTTTTTGAATTCCTAAATTTTTACCAAAAATGTTAAATAGTTTAAATTATTTTAAATATTTGTATGCGAAAATGAAAATATAAATAGAGATATCAAATTTAAATAGTTTAGTTTTTAAGAAATATAAATTTTTCCTATTGTTTAATAGTTAAATATGTAATTATATATTAAATTAATTAATTTATTGATTCTTTGTTCATCTGCGGTCGATGAACATTTTCATTCCTATTCTATAATTTATTTTATTTCATTCAAAAATAGAGTGTAAAATGAAATAATAGTTACAAAATAAAAATATTATTCCATTTATTGAGTAATATTTTATTTTTTGTTCACCACTCTATTATGGAGTAATCCACTAACTTGAAAATTGTCCGATTTAGTGTCATGGAGCATTTAGTGATATGCTGCTACCTTATCTCCTCTTGGCCAATTTTGTATTAATATTAAAATAAAAAATATAACATCAATTATTAGTCACTTGATTTAGTTTCTAAATATCAATACAAATCTGTCCACTGAAAATAAAGTAAATTGTTATTAAAAAGAAATGTTCACTATCAATTATTAACTATTGATTTAAATTCAGCTATTTATATATAAACTGACTGTACTAATCAAATACCATACTATTCCCTTGACTCTTTTTTTTTTCTATTCACTTGACTTGATTTCTAATTGATACAAATATATCCAATGACTATATTTTAAGTTTTTATCAAAATCATAGAAACATATTCAACATCAGTATTAGTCATAGGTTCAAAATTAATTATTTAGTATACATATGGTACAAATCTATCCGCCGGCTAGATTTCAAGTTTTTACCAAAAACTTCGAAATATATTCAACTTCTTAACTCTTAGTCGTGGTTTCAAATTTATAAGTAAATAGAATATGTAAAAGGATAAATCAGAAAAGCACACATTAGACCATCATTATCGCTGTCCTTGAAGGCATATCTTAGATATTAAAAGCTAAAAAATAAATGAAAAATGCTTAAAAATATAGTAAACGTTAACGTTTATACTTGGTCCTTAGTGCCAGCTGGCTTACTGCGATTGGGTGTAGAAGTGGTGTAGGGCAATGTTGTTTGCCGTCTGAAAATCAATTGCATGTTCTCCGACTCTCTCTTTCGACGGCGAAAGAGTTCAGAGATCGTCCCACCCATTTCATCCGATTTCAAAATCTTCTTGGTATTTCGCTCCCTCAACACCGATCCATTGTCCCACCGAAAGCTTCTCCACCGATTTCAGTCGAAAATGTATGTCTTCCTCATCCTCTTAGAGATTATGTCGTTGTTGATGTTCTGTATAATCCTGTTGGAGGGAAACTCACCAAGGACTCTATGAAAATTCTCAACTAGGGAGCCCAGATTCTGGTCATTGGTTTTGCAAGCGGTGAAGTACCTCTAATTCCTGCTAATATAGCTCTTGTTAAGGTGAATAAAATGATTGTCTAGTAGATAGAAAGTTACTAGATGAGAATCTAACACAACTTGGTGGCAGAAGTGGACGGTTCATGGGAGGCAATTCCTCTCATGCCCATATTTCTCATTTTCTAATCTTTCTAGGACACATTTCTTCTTTTAATTTTATATGTCAAACAAAAAATCATAAAATTAAACTGGAAACGTGAATATTTTTTTATTTGATTTATAGAATTTGATAAAAATATTTCAAAATTCAAAAAACGTTTTTTTCATATTTTCACGAAAATCATCAAAATATGATTAAAAACGATTTTAAAATATTTTTTTTCCGAATTTGAAAGCTATAGAATTTAAGTAAAGATCATTGCAGATCATTGATAAGTCAACGAATCGGGGCGATCTTCGCGATCACCAGACTTCAGGACCGTCGCAACCTCAGGTATTCTCTAATAACTGGGAACAAAACCGGAATGATCACTCGCTAGGTTATCGATCTGGGAATATGAATCTTGCGAACAGAGAATCTATGTTGGAGAAAATTCGTATGCCGGTGTTTACAGGGAAGCAACCTTATGTGTGGCTAACTGAAGTGGAAAGATGGTTTAGTATCGGGAGGTATGATGAGATGGAAAAATTGGAGTTGATTGGGTTGAGTTTAGAAGGAAAGGTCAAGAAGTGGTTTGGATGGGAATTGAAGAGAAACGGTTTTCAGAATTGGAACGAGTTCAAGCAGAAATTGGTGTTGCGTTTCACAGAATCA